CCAAGTTGAATATGAAACCATATTTTTATAATTGGAAAAATTAAATTTTTTGTATAAAAATTGTCTTAATATCACAAAATGATGTATACAATAATACAACAATAATTTGGCGCTGTAGCTATTTTCGGCCGAGTGATATTGTCTAAATGTACTAAGTACAATAATATTTCATCAACAATTCTCTTATCTGTGTAAGAAAACATTTTTTTGTTTGTTCACATGAAATGTTGACCAGTTAAGCAAAATTTTATAGAAAATTTTGGAATGCAATTTTTTTCTTTTAATACATTTTGCAAATTTATCGTTTGCAATATTTCGCTTCACATCTGCGTCATTTCAATTCCACCGCTGTTGTGGCTACCCAAATATCAATAAACAACAAAAGGTAGATGAACAACAGCAACAGAATAGAAAGATACAAACTCGTGACCGCACAGCAGAAGAAAGCCAGCAAGCTATCACCAAGAACTGACCTCCGCTTTCAAATCAGTTTTCTCTCGTGCTGTTACTGCTAACCTTTAATGCAACAACAAAAACTACAACAATGATCTGACAACAACATACAGCAACAACAGCATATTGGTAGGTAGTCAGCTTCGCAATTCGGCCAATTAATTTCTTTTAGCTTACTTTTTCAGAGTGCTTCTTCAGCACCACCTCTGATTTTGTTTGTTCTTCTTGCTCCTTTTCGTTCACTACTTTTGAAATCGGCTTTTAACATCTTTTCATTAACAATCTTTCAATATTTGCCACTGTTGCTTGGCCATGTGCGTGATGAGCTATATAGTGTCTTGGAGAAATGCTAGGTAAATTTTGAAATTATTATTTTTTTAAGCTTAGTTTTTTTTTAAATTTTGCAACTTTCTTTATTAGAGGGAAATTAGCAAACTAAAATTTAAAGAAATATACAAAAAATTTTTTTACTTCTTTCTGTACACTTCTGTTTTACATACATATGTACATATTTATTTATTAATCGTCCAGATTTTCATCTTCCACGATTTTCTTCGCTTTCCATTCAATTCACTTCCAACACTAAGTTTTCGAAATGTATATACATATATGCATGCATATATATATACATTTGTAAGTAAAGGTGTATATGTGTGCTCCTTGCACAACTGGATGTCCGTTTATTGCTCATTGTTGTTCGTGTGTCTTTTGTAGTGTTTTTAGTTGTTACCTCTAAATGCTCCAGACTTTAATTTAGGTAGTTTCGTAGATTTCTTGTTGCTGCTGTTAGCACTGTTTGCTTCTTGACCGTTTTTTTTTTTTTTTTTAAATTTATAAATATATGTGTGTGTATGTAGGCATGCGTACATATATACATTCGTTTATTTCTTCTTCTTTAAATTTGAGTTTTTTCTGTTTTTTCCTGCTGTCGGCGCTGTAAACCGGTTTTAACTGTTGACTACCAGACGCTTATGCTGCCGTTGTTATTGTGCTTTTGTAATTGCTGTTGTTGTTTTTAGCTTTTTTTCTTACTTGTTAGTGCATACTCATTGTAAATTTTTTTGTTTTGTAGCTGCTAAATCGTTTTTACCCTTATTTTTCGGTTTTCGGATTTCGGTTGGTTAGTAGCAACAACAACGTTACTTTTGAACTTTTCTACTGGTTTTTAACAAAAGTTGTATTTATTTTAGTTTAGCGTAGTTTTCGTTTCGCTACCTTTTTATTTTATCGTAAGTTTCGCGCTCTTCTATCGCAATAAAACAAACAGTAAAACAAACATACATACAAACTTTCAAACATTTACGACTTAAATTAAAAACTTTTTTTACCTTTTTTACTAGTTTAAGTATATACATAAATTTGTATAAATGTTTATTTATGTTAGTGCAAGCATAACTGCGTTTCTTGTTATTATTGTTATTATTGTAATTAGTTACTGATTCTCTTGTGTATAAGTTCATACTTTTCGATATTTCTTTTTTGCGCAAAATATTCAAGTTGAAGTTCACTTTACTGTAGTGTATTGACCTCGGATATAACGAAAATCATAACATTTGCAATTTTTCGTACAGAAATGCCTGTTAATAACAGTAGCACAGAAAAGCTAGTTCTGTTGAAATATTGATAAAATAAAAAAATAAAAATGATCTAGCTTCAGTATTAAATTTTTCTATCTATTTGAACCAAGAACGGTGGACAAAAGTATTATTTAAACTATTTTTTTTTCCAAATAAGTGATTTTTTTCAAACTTTAAAAGTATTTGGAATTTTTCAATATCTTCGGCGTTGTTTTAGTTCATGTAAAAAAGACACCCATTAAAATTAAAAAGAAAAAAATTAGTTCGTCTATTTCAGATTCAATATTAAAAGTTCAGACTGCAGCCGCTTCAGAAAACTCATCACAACATTGTAAACCTCCAATATTTTCTGATACTAAAAATGGTTTTTGAAAAAGCTTAAATAAAGTAAGCTTATTATTGCCTGAAAATTTCGTTTACTGCAACGATTTCCTTTCAAAAAAATTTGCTGATAAACGCTTTTCGGGTTCTAAATGAGACTACTGCCTTTGAAAATAAAATTTTCGCATTTCTTGATCTGCATTATTTGAATTTTTCGCATTTATCTCAACTGTTTCTTATACATTTACAAAAGAAAGCGTTTTATGCAAAAATTTAGTTCTACTCATTCATATCTTTGTGTTGTCTATTTGTATTTATCATTGTAAATTCGATGTTGTGAAAGTTAATATTGTTTTCTATTATATTTGTCAACCAGTAAATTTATTGATTTTACAAGCGTTTGTTTTGTTTTTCGGTTTCATACAATTACAAGCTCACATGAATACGAGATTATACCATGCAGTCGAAAAACTAGTTAAAAACTACTTAACTACTAGTAGGACAAGCTAGAACAACCAATCAGCCGACAGTATTTTATTCATAAAATAAAGTGGAAGCTTTTCATAAGTTTTCTGCCGAAATTCGTAATTAGTTTATTTAACAATAATATAAAACATTGATATATGAATAGGTAAAAATATTCAGTGAAATATCTATATATATATAAAATATCTGGACTTTAGGTTGAAAATAAAATTGTCTCAAGTATATAAATTAGGTACTCATAGACGTAAAACTTAAGCATAAATATGTACATACTTAAATGCAAAAAGAGGTGTTATTTTGGTATTCAAAGAAAAAAGTTTTTTTTTTTCAGATAACCAACGGATGTTTACTTCAGTATAAAGAGGAAGATATGACATTAATAATAGAAAACAATATCAGCCAAATGGCCGACACCACTACGCTTGCATCACCAAATCGCAAAGTGGCTGCTGTATGCCCCAATAGCTTCACTAATTCCAGCTTTGAGGTCCAGAATCGACATTGGCCTGTTGGCTTAGATCTAATCTTTCACTACGGCCTCAAAGGAAGAGGTCGCAAGGTGTTAAATCACACCGATCAGACACCGATAACCAATTGCGATCACCTCTTCGAGAGACAATACGATCAGAAATTTTTTCTATTAAAAGATTGATGGTTTCGTTGCTAGTGTGACATGTAGCACCGTCTTGTTGAAAGTGAACGTTGTCCAGATCAATACTTAATATATTCCCGCTATAAAAAATCGTTAATTATCTCTCGTTGGCGCCATTCGTTAATTTTCGATAACGTATGGTCCAATGACTGACCATAAACCGCGCTAAATAGTTATACGTTGAAGATGAGGAGACTTTTCAACAACAAATCCTGGATTTTTCTAGTCCCAGATGCTTTACTTATGAACATAGCCATCGAGGTGGAAATGGGCATCATCAGCCAAGATTATTTATTGATGAAATTTTTATAGGGAAATGTATTTATTTATTTATTTGTAGGAAAAATATTTTTCTTATTTATTTATTTATTTGTATGAAAAATAATTATGAATAATTACATTACGTTAAAGACAACTAATAACGGATATCGTAGGATTTTTATTACTGGCGTTTCTTTTACTTGTCAAAAGTCAAACAGTTTAGAGCTTCGGAAGTGACTTCTACCAGAGTAGCGGGCTGTTCAAAATAACATATTTTATTGAAGACCCTTTATTATATACATTTGAATGTTATATGCATGTATATGAATGTAGTTTCAAAGTTGGAAATATTTTAAATATTATATATGTGAATACGTATGTATATATACATGTACTTACACATATTCTTTTACTGATTATACATACACACATATACGGGTAAGCATACACATACATATGCTTTTAAATAATTTAACTTTTTGCATATTTTATTTCTCTGTTCCTCTTTTTTGCCGTTTTTAAAGCAAACAATGCAAAATTTTGAATGTTTTGAAAAGAAAAGCAACAAAGCAAAGCAACAAAAGTTGAAAGCTAGCATTAATTTCATTGACAACTGTTTTATAAATAAATGCTTGCTTAATTTAAAAATAGTATATTCATAATGCCGTTAGGCTTCTACAGCTTTGAGATATTTGGTGATTTATATTAATTATAAAGTTTCTCCCGAACTTTGGCTAAAATTAATTTTTTTCTTAATTTGTTTTTGTGGCCATGCTATTTTTAAATTTTTGATAAAAGCATTAAGTAAACTACGAGGCCTGGTTGTTTGTATAAATTAAATATATTTTCCTATTTTAAAATTCAGCGATTTTCTTAAATTATTTTTTTGTTGTTCAAGCTTGGTTAATTTCTGAAGTTTTTTGGTCTCCTTCAAAGCACATTTTTTAAATAACAAAGAACTTCAGTACAATAATGAAATAATGAGTTCTTATTTAGTTTACTAGACTAGCGTCACCAATTTGTATCGTCTTATTAGAAAAGTATTTAACCGATTCTAAGGAGAAAGATATATGAAAGTCCAACTTTTTCTTCTTGCAATTTTTCGCCGAGTTTCTTCTCAGTGCTAATTTGCGAATGAACACTTTTGAAAAAAAAAAAAAGTTCTGGGTCATTTATTTATGCGCGATTCCTTCATGCTTTTTCCGAAACTGCGGCAAAAAAAAAGATCTTATCTAACGCAAGGAACTTACCTTTAAAACGCTTTTATCTCGTTCACTCTGCCCTCCTGCTGCTCGCTTTATGTGTTGCAACTGGTCTCAAGGAGAAAATAAATTTTAACAACAAAAAAATTGGTTTCCAAAATTCGTATAGTTGTTGTATTTAACAAAATATATGAATTTCTCTTCGAATTTCGTAAAACCACAACGAATTGCGCACAAACCCACGCCCACTGTCAATGCGACGCTGCACAAGCTTAACGAGTGCAATTGCGTCGTCCGAAACTTTGTTATTTAATTTGCTTGTCGTTTTTTTTTTCTAAGCGCTTTTGCTGTAATTTTTTTGTTCTTTTTCACTGCTGAATTTCTAGAATTTTTCACGTAACGGCTTTTTTCCGTGTACTTTTTTCTCGTTCGCACTTTAAATGCCCGACAATTTGCTAGTTGCACTTTTTGTTGTGTTGGTGTTGTTGTTGTTGTTGTTGTTTGTGGCACTTTTATTGGTATTTTTGTTTCGTTGCAGGTTGACTTTACCACTTTTAAAGCGTTTCTTTTTTTTTCAAACTTTTATTTTGCTATTTTTATTATTGTAGTTGTAACAGTCGTGGCATATACACACATATGCTTGTGCTTGTGTGTGTTTAACGATTTTTATGGCCAATAATTAACCAAATAAACGCGAAACAAAGACAGAAACGTGCAAAATTCGTACAGTGAACACACAGACAGACGGAGCGCAATGCAGCTGCAATAATGTTTTGAGAGGTGGCAGTTGGAGAAAAAGAAGAGGCAGCATCAACCAGCACCACCACCACCACCTTCCCAACTTCTCAACGCTGTGTCTCGACGGCGGTTGAAGGTAAAAGAAGGAAATGCAGCAGGACAGTTGTAAACATAAAAAAGTGGTTTATGTTTGTTGCTGTTGCTTTTGTAGTTTTTTATATATAATTGCACTCATGTAGGTATGTAAGTACGTATGCATGTATGCCTGTACAAAGGGGCAGCGTGCACGTCAAAGACAGTCAGTAGTCACTTAAAAGGAAACTCGTTTGAATGCTCGTTTATTTATTTATTTTTATTTTTTAATTTTTTCAGGCAAACATTTTATGTCTTTGTTATTGTTTTTGGCTCAAGCTTTGTATTTTACATTTGCGTCTGTTTGACATTCACAAATCTGTTTAGTTGTTTGGATTTTTGTTTTATTTCATCATTTTGTTTTAATTAAATCAAAAATATTAAAAAAAAAATGCTTGCACACAAGTGAGCGGTTGCATTGGTGTGTTGAAAATATTTAATATTTTTTAACAATAATCTCTTAAAATTTTTATTGTGGTTAAAGATTTTCACTATTATTTTTTTTAATATCTCTAAAAAAATTAATTTTAACACACGAATTATTTATTTATTAACTCATTTCGATTTAACTTTATCAAATAAGAATTTTTCACGCTCTTCACAGTAAGTATATAATTTTTTTAACTATTTCAAAACTTCTTTGCAAAAGTCTTTTCACCAATTGGATTTCTTACATTTTATAATGAATTCTGACAGCCACACACGCGCACAAGACAGCGTTCAAAGTATAGAGCGTTTCTTATTTTTATTGTTTGAGCACTAAAACGCTTCAATTTCGTTGTAAAGCAACTACACCGTTATATATCTTCCGTATCTTCTTACCAACACGGCCAACAGTCGTCGAAGAACTGAAATGTCTCGCATAAAGTCGTATTGGAAACCGAAATGCGATACTCTAGCTTGTAGTTATGCTTGTGAGTATGTATATATGTAAGCACGTACATATGTATATAAAATCAACTAAATTGCATCGCATTGAATTTCTTACCAGTCAGCCCAGTCTGCTTGCCAGCTGGCTTAAGTGCTACAAATACTTTTCTGATTGTATGTGTTTATGTATATACATACTACATATGTATATGCCTCTGTGTGCTGCAGCACGCGAGTATATGAAAGCAGCATGCGATGCACAAAATTCAGTCAAATACACACATACAAATTTACTAACAAGAAACCAGCTCACCTGTGTGCCGTATGCCTCCAAAATCATCGCTCATCAGCTGCTCCAAAGTCTTCGAGAAATTTTACGTGAGAGGAGCGCATTTAAAAACACATACTCAGTGGGAAACTCGTGTAAGTTTTTTTTCATGTTTAATTCTTATCAGTGCTGCCACTAGTTTAATTTCATTTTTCCCAAATTTGTTCAAAAAAGTAACCAAAAATGAAAGAGAGAAGCAAACTGAAAACATTAAATCATATCTAATGGAACAAATAAAATCGATAAATTACACGGTCAACTAAAAATTAACAGTTCATTTTTATTATATAAATAATTTTCCAATAAGAAATGTTATATTGAGTAGACTGCTTTCAGTTAGACGTAACTTTTGAAGCTGTAATTATGTGACATTTGATAAGTAAAAAATTGGAACGATTCACGCTACAACAAAAAAAAACTATTAAAACTACATATAAATCCATCGAAAAATCATCTTTACTGATAAGGTCCATTTCCACATCGGTGGCTACCTCAATGAGCAAAACTGTCGCATCTGGGTCCCGTAAAACCCAAGATTTTTTTGTTGATAAATCTCTCCGTCCTCAACGTGTTGCTATTTGGTGCAGTTTACAGTCCAGCGGGACCTTGGACCTTACTTTTTCAAATGAAATGAATGGATTGTGTTATTGAAATAGGTTTAATGATTTGTTATGGCCCTAATTGGATATCAATACCATCCAACGTTCCCTTTCAACAAGACGGCGCTACGTACCACACAAACATGGTTTTGTTACATCGACCTTTGGAGGGGAAAGTTTTTCTAAATATCAAAAAAAAAAACACCATTATTTCCTCTGCACTACAGTTAATCAAATTAGAAATTTCAGTAAAGGCCAATTCCGACCATAACCAAAGTAGTAGGAAGGTAACCACTTGAAACAAAGGTAATCAATTTTGGTAAAATTTAACCAATATGGCACCACTGATTCTGGTGTACTTTATTTGCCAACAGTAGATTTTTTTAATAGTGATATTTAGTGGTAGTAATTTCATCATAGCTACCTGAGAGAGAGACAAAGAGAAATAGAGAGAATGCTTGGAGTCTCTTGTAGTTTGAGCAGAGTGTATTTTTCATTAAGCTTTATGCATTTATGTTCTCTGCTATTCGATATGAAACTGGTGTTCAGTGCGAGAAATTTATTTTATTTATTTAAGGGAATTTTGAATTTACTTATCTTTTGGCATTACCGGTGTGGCGCAGAGCATCGCACTGTGGTCTACGGGCCCACTTTATATAGCCACAAATAAATTTTTAAAATTTAATAAAAAATATGTTTTTTTTGGTAGCTACGGATTAATGTAAAATCAAAAAACAAAGTTTAAAAGTGACCGCCGTTGCTAAGCAAAATATGTACTTTGAAAATTAAGTTTTTTTTTTTTAATTTAGAGGTGATTAAAAGGTTTTTAATTAACAATACCTGTGTAATAAAATATTTATAAAAATTTCAATTGTTATAACTTGTACTACTAAATACTTATAAGAGTTTTTCGTTAGATTGATTTATGTTATGTCAAAAATTATACAGATGCTTAGGTAGCCGAACAAATATGCTTTGAAAACCAATTTGGAACATAAATATATTCTGGCTCCATCCGGGTTCATAGATCAGATGTATTATAAATTATATTCTTGTTCAAAAGTGTATAATTTTAAACATCACTTTCTTTCACGTCAATTTTTCGCACAATTTAGTTTTTTCGATCATAACCTAAAATTTGCGTACATATTAGTACCATATCTCTTTGACACCCATCCGAATCTTTTTTGTACTCCTTATATTTGCCCATCTGATGCATAATTTCTAACAAAAATTCTGAATTATCTCAATTTTCATACCATGAACTTTGTCCAAATTCAAATATGCAATAGCGTCCGGACTTGTGATTCATGAAATGCGTGTACCAAGTTTCATTAAAATACCTTTATCCCAGTTTATCATTTGTTCAAACCTGATATATACAGGGTGTTCCATATTTTATTCCGGTATGTGAACATTAAATAACTTTAAGAAAAAACAACCGATTTCTGTAAAAGATGTATTTTTATTCAGTTTGGTTCCTTACGCTTTTTATGGATTTGTTTTTGAAAACAATATCAATCAAGTGGCTACCTTTATTAGCAATTACAAAAAATTGTCGTTAAGGACGGTGCAATCGTTTCATATGAAATTCGACATTCGCTGAATATTTGTAATGGTTGTAATTTCCGCCGGAACCCGAAGAGAGTCACATGGCGAATTTCTATCTTGCCTTTTCTCGTCGTTGTTTTAGCCGATCTTTCTAAAACTTGAAAGGAGGAAGTAATTGCAAAGGATTTGGAATTTCTAGATTTAACAAAAATAATTTGAAAGTCACCAACTGACCGAACTTTGTTTGATCTTCTCGTGTTAACATATTTTTATATTTTCATTTCGTAAGTTTAACTACATAAGAAATATGAGCAAACAAGCATTTTTTTAATAATTGTAGACATTCCATTATATCATATATATACGTAAGAATTTTTAAACACTGCAATATTCCTAAATATTTGTTTAAATTAATTTCTCCTCTTTGAAATTATCTAAACATATGTACTTCCCGAGAAGTAATTTCTAGTATTACGGCACTATTTTTATTTATTCCATTGAATAATAGTAGAAATATATTAACAAAGCTTTATCATAAGATGTCATGATAATATACCAAGTCTGCTCTTATCTGTTATGAATTTCGTTGAATCATCCACAGAATGGGCTGAGAAAGGTTATCTAAGTGGAATTGTTTGACAATACAGATGTACAATATATAAGATATTTAATTTTATTTGAAATTATTTACAGAACATATAACAATTTTCTGACACTTGATAATAAAATCTTAAACAACTTTCGCGACGAGTCTCGAAGTAAAATTCTGATCATAATGTGGTTTTTGTTTTAATCTTAATTCAAATCGATTGAACGTGTTAATCAATTTTAGTTCGTAAGTAAAATTTTAACCATAATGAATTGCTGTCCTAAAATATTGTTAAAAACCTCCCAAAACAAAAACGGATATAAATTAATTAACAAAAATATGTATAAATGCCCGTCTTTACAAATTTATATTTACTTAAACATCACATTCCTTAAGGCATGCACGTGTCGTTACAAAACAAAACAAGGTAATGACAACAATGACTGTAGAAAAAAACAAGAGCGTGAAAACACCTCAAAAAATAACTCAAAATTTACACGTGAGCCGCTAAACTAACTACTTTGGAGGATCCGATTTATGTGGCAGTCTACTTGTGCATATGGCCTATTTATATATGCATACATATGTATTTTTATAAATACATATACATATACCATCAGCGTCAACGCGAAGCTCTCCAACTTATTTACAAATAATGAGAAATGAAGGGCAGAAAAGAGGAGAAGAATAAAAAAGAAATTAAATTTTAAAACAAAAACAAATAATTAATAACGAAATGATTTTAAGTTTGAAATGTCGAAACAAAAAGAGAATAATCGAAAAATTGCAAAAAAAAGAAAAGCACAAAAGCACAGTTAAAGTAATCCCAATTAAAACGGGTTTTTATTTCCGGTATCGAATTTTTAACAGTAATACCTTAGTATTTTCATTGCAGCCAGGCTGATGGCAGTCATTGAGGCTATATTTAGAAAATAACATTTTCGAAATTACGATACCTTCAAATCCATAATTAGGGTGTCGCTTGAAAGGGCTATAAAGTAGGGTGGAAAGCAAACATCAATTAAAAGAAAACCATATTAAACAAAATGAAGCAAAATCGAAGAAAAACTAAATTAATTTATATAAAATAAAATAAAACTAAAAAGACTAATATAATTAAAAGAGTAATATAAGAGATTAAATTCATTTAATAAATTCTAATTAAACTAAATAAAAAAATGGAATAAAATAAATGATAATAACGAATAAAAGTAAAGAAGCTTTAAGACAAAATAAAGAATGGATAAAATGGCACAAACTAAATGGCAAAAAATAGATTAAACCAACATAAAGAAAAGGAAATAACATACAAGAGAATAAAAAATAACATAAATGAAAAAGTAAAATGAAATCAAATTGCATAAAATAAATTAAATAAAATAAAACAAAATGAAATAAAATAAAATGAAAGAAAATAAAATAAAACAATATAAAACAAAAAATAAATAAATAAAAAAAAGAATAAAATAAAATGAAACAAAATGAAATGTAATAAAATAAAATAAAATAACACTTCAAAAGAAATCAATTACAATAAATTAAAATAAAATAAAAAAATAAATAAATTAAATCAAAATAAAGTAAAATAAATGGTAAAGTGAAACAAATTAAAATAAAGTGAAATGAAACTAAATAAAATATTATAAAACAAAATAAAACGTAATAACATTAAATAATATGTATTGAAAATAATATAAAAAAATAAATAAAATAAAATAAAGCCAATAAAATAAAAAGTGTAATTTAAAATAAAATCAAAAAGAGTAAAATAAAACCAAATAGAGTGAAATAAAATAACATAAATTATATTAAAATAAAATAAAAAATTAAGTGTAATAAATAAAATTTAATAAAAGAAAATAAATTAAAATGAAGTACTTAATAAAGAAAAGATGACTTTAAATAAAGAAGTGAAATGAAATGGA